TTTGTTACGTTATGTTTTTTAATTAGTGATTCCTGGTGATCAGCTGTTGTGCACTTCTTTGCACGGTGGCAAACAGTTGCCCTATATGAGAGTCGTCAATGAATAAGTCTGTTCGACATTAGAACGATGCTTTGCTAAAATGTAATTTCACATTCAAGAGATATTAACCCAAACGAGTTCATAATATGGATTCTTTACGAGATGAATGTTCAACACAGCGTGTTGCTGGGGTCGTTTTCACATGTGGACTTGTCTTCATGGCAGTGGGCTTAGACAAGACTATTTGTCCACATGTATTTCCTAGCGATGCTTGGTATTGACTAATTGTGCTCAGCCAGCGAGTCTTGTTTTACGAATAGATTAAAGTTTTACTTGTCCTGCACACTTCCTTGTGTGGAAGTGTCCATTTCTCTACCTATTCGAAGTTATGAGTATACATCTTCAAATACTGATGTTCAGTTGACACGTCTACAACTGAAGATCCAGATGCGATCTCCCTACTTTGAATTGACAGCAGAACATTGCATTGACTGCAGTAAGTACTTTTACAAAGGCAAGTTTGGCCTCTCATAGTTAATGGCAATTGCTAAGAAGAAGAAAGGAGGACAGCTGCCTGCCTAATATTACTGTCTGCCGTTTCTCCAACACCCCACTTCTCAAGAGCAATCATTCAAAACTTACCGGATAAGTTCCCAGCCTACCTGACCCCACTCAATTAACCGTAATGGTTCCCTCTCGTAAATGTAAAAAAAAAAAGACTGAGAAATAACGCTTAATTTGATTGTATATACGTGCACTGTGACCCTTCACCGATCTTATAATAGAGGTATAAATATTGGCATAAAAATTCCATCAATCTTTGTGTACTACTGTCAAGTATCAATGCCAACAAAGCGCAGTTTGGTACATTTACTTTTGTTCCCTTGCCTTGCTCTGGAAGGACAGTTGAATCTCTTTTCTTCCGTTTCCTTAGACACACCAACGCGTCACAACTCTCCATGGCGTGTCGCTTCGGCGTCACGTCGCGGTCCTATAAAAGGAGAGGGCACGCATGGGTACAGCAGATGACATGCGCTGACTGGTTGTTAGTCTAGGCGTGTAGGTCTCGGCCAGCAGTCGAAAAATTTTAGCCCCTTATCCCCTCCTATTAGGCGCAACTTTTGTCTGACATCATACCTTGCATGATGCGCCATCTATGCGCACTTTCCGAGCTAAAAGTTTTCCTGGCACGTTGTCTTCACCACAAGAATGGCCAAAAACGGCCGAAAAAGTTTAGCCCCTTATCGCCCCCGATAAGGCTCAACTTTTGTCTGGCGTCACACATTGAAGCGATGCGCCATCTATGCGCTCTTTACGAGTTAAACGTTCCCCTGGTACGTTGGCTTCACCGCACGAAGAGCCAAAAACAGTCGAAAAAGTTTAGCCCCTTATCACCCCCGATAAGGCTCAAGTTTTGTCTAACGTCACACCTTGCAGCGATGCGCCATCGTGCGCTCTTTGCGAGTTATGAGTTCCCTTGGTACGTTGGCTTCACCGTACAAAGAGTCAAAAACAGTCGAAAAAGTTTAGCCTCTTATCACCCACGATGAGGCTCAAGTTTTGTCCGACGTCACACCTTGCAGCGATGCACCATATATGCGCATTTCCGAGTTAAACGTTCCCCTGTTACGTTGGCTTCACTGCACGAGGGGCCAAAAACAGTCGAAAAAGTTTAGCCATAGAGTAACATATAAAATTAAAGAGAGTACACTCCCGTAGGCTCCTGCGAATAATTTTAAGGTCCCTAGATGAAACAAGTTTCCAAGGTAGCGACACCCTCCCTTTTCCTCCTCGCTTATTAGCCTGAAGCGCCCCCTAGAAGGTTTAAAACTTTCATCCAAAAGCGAATGTTTGGGCTCTGTTGCTATGGTGAATAGAGGTAAATGAAACAAAATGGAACGAAATAAGACGTAGAATAAACAGTTACCTTTATGAACATAAACGGCACAACACAAGAGCAAGCGGGATGTGCGTTACTCAACCGGCAACGTTGGGCAGTTCTATACTTTACACCACTAGCCATGGCGCCTCACGTAGTACATTTTAGTTCCACGGCCGCGGTATTTCGTCCAGTTCTAACTAGTCCACTTCTCCGATTGTGTTTTGTTCGTGCTGTGACACAGTGGACGTGCTTCTTGCTGGATCCTGTAAGTGGCCACAGGGCGTGACGTTGTGACGATTGATTACAACCGGCTTGTGCACACGCAAGAGAAAAAAAAAAACTACGACCAGACTGGTACGAACACTCGTCCAGCAGCACTGCGATGACGTTTTTTTTTTTTTAAATGTGCCCATTCGGACAATCATGATGCCAAGTGATTCTGATGCGGGGCTGCATGGGAACTTCCTGAAAAGTGAGAGTTCTACTGGTGAGGTGTCTCGAAGCAGCGCGTTTCGGCTCAAGCGGGAACTGGTCAAGAGTGAAATGTTTCTGAAGGTGCGTTGATTACAACCTACAGCTGTTCTGTATACGTGCATACCCACATGTATTTGTACCAACTGGCATGCACTAGACGCGCATTAGACGCGCGCCTGGCGTTTCAATAAAAACCGACAAGTGAACTCGCTTCGCAGATCTGCGTCGACATACGTTGACGGAGTTGCACGAAAGCATTCGCGTGAAATGGTTCATAGTTGCACTTCATGGTGCGCTTCATATCGGAAAGCACGAGGTAAGTTGAAGAGAGCGAAACCATTTTCTGTTGTTTACGGCAACGCAGCATTGCTGAAAAACGCAGATGTTGCATTGAACAAGCATGGCGAAACAATCTTGGTCGACTTAGCGCACACCGAAACGCTCCTCCTCTTCAGTTTATGTTCTGGCTACGATTTTGTCTTTGGTCACGGCGAGAATCCGGCTGGAGCCATATGCGCATGCGTACTCGTTTTGAACCTTTTGCATAATAATAAATAACACCACCAGCCATTTGCAAGATCACGTGCAAGTAATGCACCAATTACAGACGCGGATATCAGAGAAAAAGAGGAGTAATCGAGAGAGTGAGGAGGACGGCTCGAGAACAATGAGTGACGCTACCTTGTTTCCATCTAGGGACCTTAAATAATTTAGGTTCGCAGCGCTCCAAGCGGTCGTTGGTAACTTTCTGAGCCTCAGAGGTTGGAGACCACAGAAAAGGATGTCTCGAAGGCCATTTTGTAGTTTCTAGGAATATTATACAGCCTCGGAGACCACTTTCACGTGCGTGCTTGTCTCTGAGGCCATACTTCTATATATATTTTTGTAACACGTCGTTCGCATGCATCGATGAGCCTCATGTAAGCTGCACCACTAGAGCGGCAAGCGCACAATGCGCGTCTGTGCACACATTTAATTTAAAACATGAGAATGATCGGAGGAGTGAAACCTTTTATCTCCAAGTGATATTCTTGGTAAGCACATGCCAACTTTATTGATGTTTGATGAGCGCAGGCACAAAGCAAGGTTAATTGCACTGCGAGACACTGCCATATCACGATCATAAATTACGCACAAGAAATAAACATATAGGCAACAATATAAGAAGAGCCGCAGCAGAGTAAAACTGCAGTAAACGCGCACAACTAAACATACCGTGCACTAGGCGACACGGCAGTAGTTGCCTCAGCACTTGACTCTGGCATGAACCGAAAAAAGAAAAGAAAATGTTGGCTACGATCTATTTCCCACCTTCCAACTAATTTTCCCCTACACACTGTACATCACTCTTTCGCGAAAAGCAGTCACTAGCAGTCGCCGCAGCCAAAACAAAGCAATTTTAACGAGATCGAAGCGTTTACTCGAAGATTAAGTTCCAGCTTTAGCTAACAAACATTTTTCTAGATTCACCACTTTTCTTTTATTGGCTTGTTAGAACTTTAAGTAATTTTCTAGCGGCAACGATTAAGGATATTGAGCATAGCTGCACTTTTCACAAAATCTCACTCATGCAGTGAATTCGAATGCATGTACAGCAGCACAAAGAAAACCCAACAAAGCGAGCGGTGACTCAATTTCTTGAGCCGAGAAGCAATGTTCTCGCAAACGTGCTGCGAAGCATTCAAACCAGTTTACTTTGCTGCGAAGCAATCCACGAAAACAGTACCCGAAGTGAAGAGCAGAAAAAAGATCTCTGCGCTGAATAGCACAATGCCAGAAACGTTAGGTTAAGGCTTCAATGACAAATGCAACACACACTTAACAAAGTATTGATGACGTTCGTACCTAGCAGCAGCCAAGTTGAGCGGTAGACGAAAAAAGCGAATACCACGACGCACGCCGGGCACGTTATCGCACATCTTTTGTGGCGTCTCCCTGCTGCTGCCCGTACTTCTGCATTGCACTAAATGCTCATAAACACGGAGCGTGACAACGTTGCCATCGCGTCGACGCCATGTGCACTTCTCTCGCATTCGATTCATGCCTGATCCCAGCAAGACGATATCACACCGTACAGTCACAGACGATACAGACGGATTCAGGCCACTATTACAGTCGTAAAACATGTAGATGTATAATGCACTGGAAAGGTATTGTAGAAAATAACTAGTACGCGTGTTTCCTTAAAGCAGTGAGTGATGTGTTGCCATCTTACAGTGGGCGTAAAGCTGCGTAGATCCGCCGCTTTTGGCCCGAGTGACCACTTCTGGGCACACACTGCAGTGCAGAAAAACTCTACCGTTTGTTTCAGGTTGCTTGTCTATCAAGCAGTGTGATCCCCATGGTGTAAAACAGCCCCGTTCCTCTGTAAATATACTTACCGATAGTTCACCTTGCTGGTATCGGGCTCGCTGCGTCCGGTCCGTAGTTGAAGCAAGGACAGCGCAGGCTTCACATCAAAACAAACAACAATCAAGCAGTGTGATCCCCATGGTGTAAAACAGCCCCGTTCCTCTGTAAATAATTTTACCGATAGTTCACCTTGCTGGTATCGGGCTTGCTGCGTCCCGTCCGCCATTGAAGCAAGGGCGGTGGAGGCTTAACGTCGAAACAAAGAACAACAATTTATTTATTTAGCCAAACGAGGGATACGCCCGGGTCGGCCCAGGAACACGAGACAGCTACGCAGCGACCATGATTCTCGGGCAGCAGCAATAGTCCAGCTCGGGTGACAGCATACATCCTTTCTGGCAGCCAGGGCACCTTTCCCCTCCGCAGCACGCAGGCAGGCACTTTTGAAGAGCGCAGCTGGGGCACGCTCACCGCTACTGCACAACACGTGGCGCTATCTCTGCATAGCCAGTGCATCTGGTCAACACCCCCCCCCCCCCCTCCTCAAGAAGTCAGGGTGGGGGCCGGAGGGTGGCTCATGTCTGGCCGCAGGGACCCTAATGCGTAGCGAGGACAAACGAAAACCAATAAACATTTTCTTCTCGTGAGCAACAGAAGTACATCTATATGTTCACAACGCACATCTGCTATGTTCACAACTAGGTGAACATAGCAACCCCTCCATTTTAGGTCGCGGAGGACGCAGATTGTACCACTTGCTCGGCGGGGTTGGAGACTGGGTGACCAAGCTGTGATGAGGAATGTCTGGATCCCCAGCAGCTGAATCTTGTCGTGCAAAGAAAAAGTTTGAGATCGGAGACATGAATAGGGTCATACGCTTGATTAGTCATGCTATCTGTCTACACGCACGAAAGCTTCGAGTTCTGAGTTTTTCGAAAAAAGGCCTGTCCTACCTGTCTGCTAGGGGATCGGAAAAACATTTTGAAGCGCCACTAAGGGGATGTGTGAGTTTCAATACCAAGCCATTAAGCTCAAAATCAACATTCTTCCGACACTTATTCTACTGCCCGGCCTTTTCTGTGTGGGATACATCGAAGTGCTGTCTGGCTTGTTGTACCATGTCGGTAAGCCGCTGCCGCAAGTCATCTGTAAACTTTACCTAATGTCTCGGAGTAGTGATTGTACACGTCAGAGCACTGTCATGTGGAAAATTCGATTCTTTGCTCAGGTTGAGTTGCGCAAGAATGAAACCTGTTGAGCGATTCACTCTCGTTCTGGTCACAAACGCTATCTGTTAGTTTCAGGTTCCAGACTTTGTGACGCTTGGTATGCGCGACAAGCATAGATTTAAGATTTGGATTACCTTTGCCGTGATGTTGGGCTGTGGGTAATACACAGACGTGCTCTTGTGACGAATTCCCAGGACGTCACAGGAACCCGTGAACACCTTGCTGCGGAAGTACGTGGTGTTGTCCGTGATCAGCGGGGCAGGGAATCCGAACCTGGTGAAAGTTTTGAAAAGGCATCTTCATACTTTCTGCGTAGTCAGCTTGCGCAAAGAAAACAATTCGACCCATTTCGTGATATGGTAAGTGACAACAAGCAGCTACTGGTTTCACCGCGGACTCATGGGAAACGGACCACTCATTGCGTTACATATGCTACTATTGGCCAAGGAGACATCCTCTCAATTGATCGCATTGTACCTATAGTCGTGAACCACCACGTGGTTTTGCCCTTTGGCAAAGTGAACAGGAACGCACGTAACGTAATACATCCATATTCCATACTTGGTCAAGTTACCATACGATACTGCTTCTCTCAAGTTTTCTGTCCTGAAGAGTGAGCAGCTAAATCACTGTCGTGGTAGGACGCCATGGAGGATTAGTGAAGTTTTCGAGGAATAACAACTTGAAGTGGTCATTCTGCATAACCATAGTTGACGTGGGTAAAATACCAGAACAAGAGGCCTCATCCTCTAAACAGTACGCCTCCTCATCGCTTCCTGCGTCAGCTGCATCACGAGCCGCAAGCTTTTCTGACACTTTACAGCAGAGGCCATCACTCTTCTGCGCTGCAGGAACCTCCTGGTTAGTAGCCAAATTCACCAATGTGAATGCATGGTTTCAAGTGGTGTCGTTACCGCACACACTGTTTTTTGTGTTTAAACCGAGGTCCAATATACAACGGCCCACGTGAAAGTGCGTCAGCAACTGTGTTAGGGCTACCCTCCTTGTACTCAATGACATAATCGTAGCGCTGCAAAATAAGCGCCCATCGGGCCAATCGTCCGGAGGAATTAGGTTACCGTTTCAGCTAACACAGTGCATGATGATCAGCCTGTATAATAAACTGTGTCCCATCCGAAAAACACGTCTAACTTTTTAATGGAAAAATGATGACCAGACACTGCTACCGAGTAGTTGCGTTCCACACCGGTCAAAGCATGGCTTGCAGAAACAACAGGCCTGAGAGCGCCGGTGAATTCCTGTAAGAGTACCGAGCCAAGGCCACAATCGCTTTCATCAGTCTGTAACAAAGAAGGTTTGTTTAGATCTGGCCGCTGTATGGAGGCATTACTGGTGATCGCTCTCAAAAGTGTGTCGAAAGCTGCTTACTGATCGTTGCTCCATTGTCATTGGCAGATTTATTCAGCAGTGGTGTCGGTGGTCAAGCGATGTCTGTGCACTGTGCAATGAAATAACGATAAAAAGCAATCATTCCCATAGTAAACTTTGCATACTCTTTTATGGTGAATTCCACTCGTCGAGCGGAAGCAAGTTTTCTTGCTCCAAAGCTGACAACCCGCGTTTCGCTGGTAGATTGGGAGCAAGTTCGCATTTTTCACTGGTAGATTCGGAGCAATCCACTCCACGACAAAGCGTTCCGCGTGTTCCGCCTTGCAGAGACGGATTTCGCCGGAACTCCGAGAATGCATTGCCGTCATTTCCGGTACAGTCGGGCAGCTGGGTTGCCCTCAGTGTTTTTTGAGGTGCTCTAGTAACCCTGTGCTTTTGTTCACATTCCTAAAATGAGAAAGCAACAGCCCTGCTTTCCGCGAAACTGTGTGGTCGAAATGCGTGCTTTGAAGTGGCGACACAGTTGTCTTTGAAACGTCGAGACCAGAAAAGAAAATCGTTTTCGGTACCGGTTTAGTGACGTATGCGTAAAAAAAAAACAACCGGAGAGACCTCACACGGGGCATTCACGTGTTCCACTCGCAGATCTCGTTTGGCACACTCCGAGTGCTCACTCCAAGATTTTGGCGGCCACTGCAGATCAAGCAGTGCAATTCGCCTTCAGTGTTTCGGGGACAAGGGAAATCTGCAATTGTGCGCAGCATATGTGGGTTCGGTTTTAGTACACCGTTGTCGACAACAAACCCAGGCAGGTTGATCTTGTTAGCAGCGAGCTGCAAAACTGTGGGATGAACTGTTCGACCAGCTGCTGACATGCACTGTTGAACCACACGCAAGTGTTCCAGATGCTCTTCAAACGTGCGTGAGATTGCCATCACATCATCAACATACCAATGTGGATAATTAAGCTTTGCATCGCCTAAGGCCATGCCCATCATGCGCTAATAGAAACTCGGACTGTTAGGAAGACCAAAAGGCATGCGCACAAACTCAAACGAGCCTCTATGGCATGCGAATGCCGTTTTCAGGATAACGTCAAGGAGAACTGCGATTTGCAGCTATACCCACAAGAGCAGTCGATTGTGATGGAGAAATAACTTCGTGTTTCCCAGCGCATAGGTTATGCTCGATATTGCCGGAAAGGATAGGTATATCTCACCGTGACCACGTTGAGCTTTCGGTAGTCCACACAAAGACGTTCCATATCGCCCTTTATTTCATTGGAACACCATGGGAAGGCCCCCGGGCTTTCAGAGGGTCGCACGGCTCCGGTGTCAATGATCTCGTCCAGCGCTTTATCGAGAAGGGCTCTCTTGCGCTGGCTCGACGGTGTCGGGTTGCGACGCCAAGTATGGGCGTTGCCAGTATTGATACGATGCACTATAGTGCGTCGGTATTGCCGGGACGCTCTGTGAACATTCCCGAGAATGGTGTCGGCACGGCCTCCTTCAGCTATCTATCTGCTGGTGTTATATGTGACCGTGAAGTTGCTGAGGAACTGCACGACGGCCGACGGCAGAATCCATCCATCCATCCATCCATAGCTAACAGCGTGAAAGAAGGTAGCTGCAATGTGCGCCATAAAATGTCTCACTACACACTCGGCGACAACTTTTCTTGGCACTGAAGGGAAAGCTACGGAGGCGGAGCTTCTGCGCACAAGTAGCACTACGCGAAGTAGTCCGTTTTGGCGCGCGTCTCGTAACGTTGTGAAAAGTGGCGGGAGCGCACCATCAGTGTTTGATGTAGACGCAGACACCGCTTGGCGGTTTGAGGTGCCCATAAAAAGGCGGGAATTTCTCACACGTTCAAAAACGCGAAGTCACAGCAGATATATTAAAATAAATACGAATATCTTACTGGTGTGAGCTGCGTCCTGTCTCAAATAGCATGACGTAAAAAAATAAGGGAGGAGCATTTATATCTCAAGTTGAAAATACGGGCGCTACTTTGGAACTACCTTAACTGGTGGTAGGATGCACGCGATTTGGCTCTATAGCTTTCCCTTCAGTTGGAATATCGCAGGTGCAGACGCGATGCCAAACGATGATCTGTTATACCAGAACAGCCCCTTCGGCGTGTTTTATCACTGCTAATTTCCGCGAGTGTTCATCTATAGCTCGACCTGGTTGTATGCGTCGCGAAAATTTAATATACTGAATTCTTTCATCCACATAAGTATGCAAAAAGGTTGTTTATGACAAGCAACGGGTACATGCTCAACCTCACACACTGGGTTTAAAGCCATCATGAAGTCACTGCATACGCGCCCCGTTCCATTCTTCATTAAAACGGGAACAATAAGCGTAGCCCATTTGGAATGAGAGACTGTAGAAAGTATGCCCGCGGCTACTTATCTGTAAAGCTCTCTTTGACACTTTATCGCGGAGTGCAAAAGACATTTTTTTTCGCCTTGGTGAACTTGGGGTTTGATCCGCTCTTGATGTGCAGTCGGGCTGGTGGACCTTTTATGAGACCGGTGCCCTCAATGAAAAAGTCAGTGTTTTGCTGGAGCACCTTCAAAACGACCTCCCGTGCTTGACTTGGCTTTGAAGGCTGCAACGTCGAAAGTCTGGATTCGTTCATCTGTCAATTTTATTTTCAGCAGATCCAAACAGCACATACTGGGTCCCATCTCAGTCTAAAACAGTCAAACTGCACTGCACTGCTGTATTTCGGTAGCAAAGCAGCATCGTTAATGCGCCAAGAAGCGAAGTTTTCCCAGATAGCATGAAAGCTGTATAGTTCTGACATCTGTAGCAGTGGCCATTGATTACAGTATATCGTAGATTCTCTTAGAGATAACGCAAACAGGAGAACCTGTATCGGTGTAAATCGTTACGTCAATGTTATTTACGCGAATATCATTCTAATAGGGGGTATAAGCGCACGAGCTCTTAGTAGTCAAGCAGATTTGTGGCGTGCTCTTATCTTCATTATCTGCCGCCTGCCCTCACTGCTACCCTGCCTGTTCGGTCGCTAACCGTGCACATTCTGGCTAAGTGTCCTTGCCGTGTGCATTTGGAGCATCTGCGCTTGATCAGTCAACAAGCGCTAGTTCTGTGACCACGTTTTCGCATAACATTCGCATTGTTGTACGCCGACCCCGCCGCGGTGGTCTAGTGGCTAAGGTACTCGGCTGCTGACCCGCAGGTCGCGGAATCGAATCCCGGCTGCGGCGGCTGCATTTCCGATGGAGGCGGAAATGTTTTAGGCCCGTGAGCTCAGATTTGTGTGCACGTTAAACAACCCCAGGTGGTTGAAATTTCCGGAGCCCTCCACTACGGCGTCTCTCATAATCATAGGGTGGTTTTGGGACGTTAAACCACACATATCATTGTTGTACACCCCGGCGACTTCACGCGGGACTCGTATTTAAACAAACTCGCTTGCTCTTTATCTGAAGCAATACCTTACGAATCGTGTTCGGCGCTTTCTGTAGCAAGGACAAGAACATCCGCTTCTTGGAGATTAAGCCCTTTCTTTGCTAGATGCTGTTTTTGCAAATTATTGTACCTGACTACGCACACAACAAGAACCCTTATCATTCCGCCCCGCATCGTCGAAATATTGCGATTCTGGGCCAGCTGTCAAATTGCCACGA